ATTCAGCGGGGGACACATACTTCTTCCCAGGACCATTCCTGCGCGGACAACAGATGCACCGCACCATGCTGTCGCCAGGAAGTGATGCCGGGTGATGCTCTGGCAATGGGGCTGGAAACTCAATGGTACCATTGAGTTTTCAGCCCCATTGTCATAGAGTCACCCAGCGTCACTTCCTGGCAACGGCATGGTGCGTTACAGGGAGGAATGTTCCAGCCGGGGATCATGTGTCCCCCGCCGAATTGCAGTAAGTATTTGGTAACCCTAGTTGGTCATAACATTCTATGATTCTATGTATGAAAGGATAATGTTGACGCCTTACTAGAGGATTTCTCAGGTTTTGCTACTGAGGTCCCCTTTATTCGAATAAAGTTCTGACTGCTCCAGAACCTTCAATGGTTGTGTTAATTATTGGGCGTTAGCACACACCAGGCAACAGGCCTATTTGGCTAACATAGCTGTGTTGGTCTGCAGTAAAATAGCTAGATTTGAGTCCAGTGGCATCTTAGAGATCAACAAAAGTTTCAAGACCTCAACTTCTGAGAGTCTGATGAAGGTACCTGAGAAAGGGAGCCTTAGAATGGGCCTTAGAAAGCATTACTAACAACAAAGCTAGTGGAGGTGATGGTATCCCAGCTGAGCTATTCAAAGTCTTAAAAGATGCTGCTGCTAAAGTGCTGCACTCAATATGCCAGCAAATTTGGAAAACGCAACAGTGGCCACAGGATTGGAAAAGGTCTGTTTTCATTCCAATCCCAAAGAAGGGCAATGCCAAGGAATGTTCAAACTATCACACAATTGCACTCATATCACACGCTAGCAAGGTCATGCTCAAGATCCTACAAGCTAGGCTTCAACAGTATGTGGATAGAGAACTGCCAGAGGTACAAGCTGGGTTTCGAAGAGGTAGTGGAACTAGAGATCAAATTGCCAACATTTGCTGGATTATGGAGAAAGCAAGAGAGTACCAGAAAAACATCTACTTCTGCTTCATTGACTCCACTAAAGCCTTTGATTGTGTGGATCACAACAAACTGTGGCAAGTCCTTAAAGAGATGGGAGTACCAGACCACCTCACATGTCTCTTGAGAAACCTGCATAAGGGTCAAGAAGCAACAGCTAGAACCGGATATGGAACAACTGATTGGCTTAGCATAGGAAAAGGAGGACGACAAAGATGTATATCGTCACCTTGCTTGTTTAATTTATATGCAGAGTACATCATACAAGGAGCTGCGATGGCTCAAGTGGTTAAGACACTGAACTGCAGGCTGTGGAAGGTCAGTAGTTCAGCAGTTCGAGACCCGGGTTGCCGCATGCTCTAGTGCCGGATATATATATATATATATGTCACACGACACTGACGACTCCCTCTCGCTGCCACTGGATTCCTCCAGCCCCTGTTTCTCTGCCACCTTGGTGGCCCGCCCGTCCAAGCAGCAGGGGCCTCAGACACCTGAACGGGGAGGGAGGCTCCATCACCATCCCTGCCACTATGTTCACTCTGGACGTAAGACACTGTCCCTCTCTCTGTTCTACAGTGTCATCCTCTTCCATCCAGGTCGTCATCCCTGGCCTCTTACAGCTGCATCCTTTTATTCTCTCCTCCTGCCTTCCCGTCTTCCCCTGGCTCTCCCTGTCCCCCTCCCCTCTCCATCCCCGCTCTCTACATAATTGAGGACTCCGGCTCCTGGGAGGGGCCATTCTCTCTCTCACTCCTTCCTGCCTCAGGCGGCTCCGGATGGGGCATGGTGCCCGGATGCGCTGGCGTGCTCTCGTGTTTGGGCGAACTCCCAGCATCTTTTCTTCTTCTTCTTCTTCTTCTTCTTCTTCTTCTTCTTCTTCTTCTTCTTCTTCTTCTTCTTCTTCTTCTTCTTCTTCTTCTTCTTCTGAATGCCAGACAGCTGTGCCTGTGTGAACGGCCCCTTTAATCCGTTGGAGAAGCGTTTCTGAAACGTGCCTATATCGGGCCAAACTCCCAGTCTGAACTCAGCCTCTGATAGCGCTGTTCATCTTGGCCGTGGGCTATTTGCTGCACGAAGGGGGGGGGGGACTCCACATTCAACAAATAAACCATTCTCTTTATTTACTAGCTCCAAGGACAAAGGGGAGAGGAAAACAAAATAACAGTCCCGTACTTAGTGCAATCACATGGCAGTTACCACGAACACAGTCCAAGCCTTCAAATGAATTCTTCATACCGAGCTCCCGAAGAGTCTCTCGGCTCCCCTCCAGTACCCTGCTTTGCTTTGCTTTCTCTGTCTGACAACTAGCACCCCAACTCTGCTCTACTTTACCTATTAAGCCACCTCTGTTAATTGGCCACGGCTGTGACTACCATGCTGCAGAAGCAGGGGTCATTTCGTAAAAAAAGAGCTAGGGGAACTCATTAGCATAACTCATTAGCATATGCCATACCCCCTGACATCAGGGGCCCGGCGGATCTCTTCTCTTCTTCTTCTCTAAATATACCCTATGGAGACCAGACCCCTTAGGGGGTGGGTATCTGGGGGCTGGGAGGGCTGATTTTTGGGGTAGAGGCACCACATTTTCATCATAACATTTGGTGCCTCTCCTCAAAAAAACCTTCCAAGTTTGGACCAGGGGGTCAAATTCTATGAGCCCCAAAAGAAGCTATCCCATTACCCCACGTTCCCCCCCGAAATGATCTCTGTGCAGAAGTAAAGGTTCAAGCTGACTTAGACCTTCTAAGGAGTTGACTCTACACTCCACTGGGCCTAAGAAAAAGAGGAAATGAATGGAGGGAAGGCATTTAAAAGGAAGGTGGTCCCTTATTTGCTTTGATTTATTTATACCCTGCCCTATCCCACAAGTGGGCTCAGGACAGCTTACAACATAAAATCCATAAAACAATAAAAACAGTCAAACTAATGAAACAACAGATGGCACAATAGACAATAACAACAAACCCAATGCCTCATATCAGGTGAATATAGGGTAAAGGTAAGGTAAAGGGTTTCCCTTGCTCGAAAGCCAGTCGAATCCGACTCTAGGGTTGCAGTGCTCATCTCCATTTCCAAGCCAAAGAGCCAGCGCTGTCCGAATATGTTTCCGTGGTCATGTGGCCGGCATGACTAGACGCCGAGGCGCACGGAACGCTGTTCCCTTCCCACCGAAGTGGTACCTATTTATCTACTTGCAATTTCTTGCTTTTGAACTGCTAGGTTGGCAGGAGCTGGAACTAGAGACGGGAGCTCCCTCCGTCACGTGGCACTCGGTTCTCGAACTGCCGAACAACAGACCTTCCGGCCTGCAGTTCAGCGTCTTAACCATGGAGCCACCGCAGCTCCTCAGGTGAATATAGGTACCTCCAAAAGCACCAGTGCCCAATCGTATTATCTAAAACAGCAGGGCACTGGGAAGGGGCCTTTCAATGTGACAGCCAGGACCCCCTTTGGAGTTCAGTCATGCTTCTTCCCTCCCCTCTCTCGGGAAGTCCCCCGCCAACTTGTCAGCCTCACCTGGCAATCCTAAACGGTACCAATGTGTGTGTGTGGCTTGGGTGGAGAATGAGATGAGGGCAACCGCTGTGTTAGAAGCCCAAGCTCCTACCTTGGGGTCACAGGAACCTTCTGGACCTGGAAGTGAAATCACAGGATGTGACATCACAGCAGTGATGCCACATCCTTGATTCTGGCTCCACCTCCAAAGTCCCCAGATATTTCCTTAGTCGGACCTGCCAACCCTAGTGTTATATGCATATCGGCTTGTATCCTAACAGCTGAATGTGAAGCCTTACTATACCGGTAATGGCTTCCTTCTCTGGAAGAAGCCCCCTTCTGCTTGGAGAGAGGCTCTACACTCAACTGAATAGCTGGCAGAATACAGCCCATTGTATGCACACTTGACACTCACTAAACCTATACACAGAACGGGTTGGTAGGCCCGCCCCAAAGCCATCCAGCCAGGTGCAAGTGGAGGAGTGGGGAATCAAACCCGGCTCCCCCAGATTAGAGGCCGCACACTTAACCACGACACCAAACTGGTACAAGGTTGGATTTATACCCCGCCCTTCACTACCGAAAGGTGTCTCAGAGAGGCTTACAAACTCCTTTCCCTTCCTCTCCCCACAGCAGACACCCTGTGAGGTAAAAGAAGAAGAAGAAGAGATTGGATTTATACCCCGCCCTTCATTACCGAAAGGTGTCTCAGAGCGGCTTACAAACTCCTTTCCCTTCCCCTCCCCACAACAGACAGACACCCTGTGAGGCAGGTGGGGCTGAGAGAGCTCTTGACAGAAACTGCTCTTTTTCAAGAACAGCTCTTATCAGGACGACGGCTTTCCCAAAGCCATCCAGCCAGGTGCAAGTGGAGGAGTGGGGAATCAAACCCGGCTCCCCCAGATTAGAGGCCGCACACTTAACCACGACACCAAACTGGTACAAGGTTTGAACACCGCTGCCACAACCCCAAACCCCATACGCAAAACATCTAATCCTTTACAGACCCAACCTGGATTGACTCAATCAAGGAAGCCACGGCCCTCAGTTTGCAAGACCTGAGCAAGACAGTTAGCAGCAGGACATTTTGAAGGTTGTTCATTCGTAGGGTCTCCATAAGTCGGAAGTGACTGATGACACTACACACACACACACACACATACTAATGTGCTACTGGGCTCAAATCTATTGCTGAGGCGACCATAACGAGGAGAAAAAAATGCGTAGACTATGTGATAAACTTCAGGATTTCCTAAGATCTTTTTTTTAAAAAAATCAGGGATTCTGCATTATTTACAAAAAGAACAAAGTCAAACGACAATAGTTCAATGTGAAGGTAGGTGACAAATTGTCCAGGAATGCCTTGTTAAAATTAAGCACAGAAAAGGATGTGTGCTCTTTGCTCATTAAATCTGTAAACAAACTCAGTTTTCGAGAAAACCAGAAATTACCTTGGAAACACTCTCTCAGCAACTCTGCTCTTTATAGACCATTTATTTCCCTCGCCAAATTATCCTGCTTCTCGATCTTCTTCTGCAGGCAGAATTCACGGCCATGAGAGACCAATATATGAGAGGAGGAGAGGGCTTTATTATCTGCTATTCCATCACAGACCGCCAGTCCTTTCAAGAGGCAGCGGAATTCAAGGAGCTCATTTATCGCGTCCGGCGTACCTATGACATCCCCTTGGTGTTGGTGGGCAACAAAATTGATCTCAAAGAGTTTCGGCAGGTAAGCAAGTTACTGCCTCTTAATTGAAGCTGGCTCGCCTCTTGAGCTTCTCCATAGTCTTGTAATGTAGCTGTAGCTAACCAGATGTTAAACATACACTTTTGGGAATGGTGGCTACAGCCAAGGAATCAGGAGCTTCTTGTTGGAAGGTTACCTGCTGCCAGTGTACACACATAAGAGTGCTTTCACACATATTGAATAATGTACTTTCAATTCACTTTCAAGGTGTTTTAGTGATGGTTTCATCACTGTAGTGGTAGTTTGCAAGTGGATTTTGCCGTCTCTCTTAGGTCTTTTCTGCACCATACTGTGTATTTTTCTTTCCCTCTGATGTTTCTCTCCCTCTAGTGGTTGCTTTGATATTTCATTGCTGTGTCTCTGGTTTATTTAAGAGCACAACTAAAAAGTGTTCTTTGTTCAGTCAGAATGTTTGAATATAATGCACTCTTTCTTTCTTTCTTTCTTTCTTTCTTTCTTTCTTTCTTTCTTTCTTTCTTTCTTTCTTTCTTTTGGTGAGCCAGTTTGGTGTAGTGGTGAAGAAGAGAAGAGATTGGATTTATACCCTGCCCTTCACTCAGAGTTTCAGAGCAGCTTACAAACTCCTTTTCCCTTCCCCTTCCCACAACAGACACCTTGTGAGGTAGGCGGGGCTGAGAGAGCTCTCTTGAGGACTGCCCTTGAGAGAACAGCGCTGAGAGAACTTCTGACTGACCCAAGGTCACACCAGCAGCTGCATGTGGAGGAGTGGAGAATCCAACCCAATTCTCCCAGATTAGACTCCGCGCTCTTAACCACTACACCAAACTGGGTCTCTAATCTGGGAGACCCGGGTTTGATTCCCCACTCCTCCACTTTCACCTGCTGGATGAACTTGGGCAAGTCTTAGTTCTGACACAGCTGTTCTTGAAAAATAGACTTTTCTGTCAGAGCTCTACCTCACAGCGTGCCTGTTGTGGGGAGGGGGAGGGAAAGGAGTTTGTAAGCCACTCTGAGAACCCTTTGGGTAGTGAAGGGCGGGGTAGAAATCCAATCTCCTTCTCCTCCTCCTCCTTTTCTTCTTCTTCTCTTCTCTTCCTTTCTTTCCGAAAGAAAGAAAGAAAGAAAGAAAGAAAGAAAGAAAGAAAGAAAGAAAGAAAGAAAGAAAGAAAGAAAATGTTCACACACTGCCCCTCCCAAAATAAATGTTTTATTGCACTGATAAAGGACCACAGTATGTGAATTCTGGGCAACATCTGGTTTGGTGGCTCAAAAGTTGCCCAGGACAGCACGCGTTGATGGACTAACATAAATAATAAATAATAACTTTTTACAACACCTCATAAACCTCAAAAGCTGGCGGTTGAACTAGCCATAAAAGAGATCTTTGGGGGGGGGGGAAAATCTAATTAAATTCAAGTGAAGATAAGCAGTTACCCACATTAGACTAGCCACACTGGAATGGGGCCAGGGCACATGAGCTCACACATCTGCTCTTGTTGATTCCTGACTCCTCATCCCACAGTGGTGAATGATATTACAAGATGATTGCATAGACTATATATTGCAATATTACTTACAGTGTCTTGGGGCGGGGGGAATGCAATGTCAGGTCTAGCATTCCTTGGCGTTGTTTCCTCTTTGAACAACAATTTCACGACAGACAGGCTGTAGGAGTCGGGTCAGACAAAGACTCTGTTTGATATGCAATCCCCCTACACAATGCAATTAATGATGTATGTCGTCTGTCTCGCAAATCTATCGGTGGCAGTACAGGAACAAGACTAATCTGCAATTAAAATGACACGTTTGGGGGGACTCCTCTACAACAAGCAAGCTTATTAGTTTGAAGTAATGTTTCGCCTTTCTGATAGCCGCCACAAAAGAATCGCCGCCGCTTCTTAAAGTATGTCTTGTCGTTTTTAAGTATGTCAAGTTGTTATCCCCGGAAATGCGGGCTTTATCTTTTCACCTTCTTAAGACAAATTGGAATTTAAAAGGCTGAGAGAGGGAACAGTGCTTCCTCTGAAAAACTTGAGTAATTGAATGAGAAGCATTTGCATGCATTATAGAATGCATGTAGACGAAGGCAGAGTGAAACTTGTTATGCATAAATTATTGGATGACATGCTTCGACTTGTGGTTATTGCATAAGTGACATGTACTAGGGGAGAGTCCATAGTGCTGTGGACAAGCGGACATTTGAAAGGCAAAATGTCTCAGGGTTGAATCCTGCCATCACCAGTTCACAATATCTTTAGTAGCAGAGGTGTGAACATGGTGGCTTCCAGTTAGAGCAGTCGGTACTGGGATAAATGAAGTAGCCGCCTTATTCAGTTTAAGAGAGCTTCGAGTGCTCATACATACCTTTTGGTGAGCTACTATGACAGTAAATGATGGTCCCTCAGAGGACCTCAAGGCAAGTGAGAAGCAGAGGTGGTCGGCCATTGCCTTCCTCTGCAGAGTCTTCCTTGGTGGTCTCCCATCCAAGTATCATCCCTACTTAGCTTAGACTTATGGTGACCCCAGCCAGGGGCTTTCATACCAAGTGAGAAGCAGAGGTGGTCTGACATTGCCTTCCTTGGTAGAGTCTACCTTGGTGGTCTCCCACCGAAATAGCAACCCTTCTTAGCTTAGACTTATGGTGACCCCAGCCAGGGGGCTTTCATAGCAAGTGAGAAGCAGAGGTGGTCTGACATTGCCTTCCTTGGTAGAGTCTACCTTGGTGGTCTCCCACCGAAATAGCAACCCTTCTTAGCTTAGACTTATGGTGACCCCAGCCAGGGGGCTTTCATAGCAAGTGAGAAGCAGAGGTGGTCTGACATTGCCTTCCTTGGTAGAGTCTTCCTTGGTGGTCTCCCATCCAAGAACCAACTCTGCTTACAGCAACCCCAGAAGCAGAGGTGGTCTGCCATTGCCTTCCTCTGCAGAGTCTTCCTTGGTCTCCCATCCAAGTACCAAACCCTGCTTAGCGTCTGAGATCTGATGAGATACACATGCACACACACAAATGGAAGACCCACAAAGACTTGTGGGGGGCATCTCATTATCCCCTTCTTCATCCTTTCTTCTTTCCCTTCTTTTAAAGCCCCCATAGCCTCTTCTCATTTCCTGCTTCCTTCTCCCACCCATCAGCCAACTGACCTTTATCTACCCACCAATGTTCCCTCTAAGCTGTGGAGTTTTGTGAGCAAGAATTCTTCTTTGTGAGCTACTGGCATTAAAGTTGTGAGTGAGCAATTTGACTACTGCATAAATTAGTCTGCTCTGGAGCCATCCTGCCTGAGCTAGGACAAAAATGTGTGAGCCGGAGGCTAAAAAACTGTGAGCTAGCTCACACTAACTCAGCTTAGAGGGAACACTGCTACCCACCTGTCTTCATTTTTTTCCTCCTCTCCTCCTCCTGGTAGCCTCTCTTTGGGAAGACTCTGCATGGTCCGAGGTGCTTTGCTGTGCTGGACCAAGCTGTGTGGTGGGATTTACAGGGGGCGTCTTATCTTCCCTTGTATACCCCTCCCCATAGTATTTCCTCTTTTCCTCTTTATGGCAGTCCCCACATCCTCATCTTTCCTTGATATCTTCTCCGCTTTCCATTCACCAAACAGCCTACCTTTTACCTGCGGCTATATTTATTATTTATTTACTTCATTGAAACCCCACATTTCTCCCCAGTGGGGGTCTCAAACAGCTTATATTATTCTCTTCTCCTCCATTTTATCCTCACAAAAACTGTGATGTAAGTTAGACTGAGAATGTATAACTGGCCCAGAGTCACCCAGTGAGCTTCCTTGGCAGAGGAATTTGAAATTCTAATGGCAACACCACATTGGCTTTTGTGGGATGGCTGCTGTTGAACAGTAGAAAGCATCTGGGTTTGGGTGAGCAAGTCAATCCAGGAGTTGCTGCCAGTCCTGGTCCCAATGAGCCCTCCCCCCTCATAGGCCAAAGGAACCTTGGTTAGGGCCCTGTCCCCTCCCCCTGCCTTTTACTGACAGAAACCAAGGCTTGAAGGCTGTCAGTATTGTGGTTGACACTGAGAAAGCATTTGTTTCTGGAAGCTATGAGTACTGTTTCTGTTCCAGGGGTGTAACACTCTGTATAGAAAAATTGATTTCTATAGGCTTCATGTCTTCCTTGGAATGTATCTTGCTGATCCCCTGCTGTGTTGATTTCCTATTGAAGCCAGATGGCTGACCATTTGGTCAGAGAAGCTCCATTGCCTGCCATATAACCACATATTCTTCACACCTCTAAGTGGAAGTCCTAGACTTCAAGGCGCCTGCTCTAAGGTTACAGGGCTCATGTCACGTAGGCCATGGGTGGGTTGGACTTTGGGGGTCATTCGACTGCAGAGGGTGTTCCCCAGACTATCCCCCACCCATTGCCATGACAACCCAAAAGTTGGACACCCCCTGTCTACCCGTGATTGGCTGACTGGCCACAGCTGATTATGATTAGATTCTATCATCTATCTATCTATCATCTATTTCCTATCACCTATCTATCTGCTGATGCAGGTTGGCTCCATTCCTCTAAAGAAGCTCTCCATCAGTGCAAGTAGCCTTCTTTGGGTAGAACTATCTCTTCTGTTAGAAGAGGAAGAGGAGGAGGAGGAGGAGGAGGAGATTGGATTTATACCCCACCCTTCACTACCCAAAGAAGTCTCAGATTCCCTCCTTTCCTCCCTGCTCCACCATTAATGAAACAGAACTTTGGGATCCAGCTAGGGTTTCCAACTACCAGGTGGGGCCTGGAGATCTCCTGGTATTACAATTGAGACCAGTTCCCCTGGGGGAAATGGCTGCTTTTGAGGGTGGATTCTATGGAACCATACCCTGCTAAAGTCCTTCCCTTCCTCAAACAATGTATTTTTTTAAGACTTCAGATTTTTGTGCAAATCAGGGGCTTTTTCAGGTTCATAGAGATATCTGTCTTGTCTGCAAGCTCTGAATTTGGGTAACCACAGAAGGGGGTTGAGAATCAATCAATCTATCTATCTATCTATCTATCTATCATCTATCTAT